GGGAGCAATACTTATAGATATAAGAGATGTGATGCGATTGCCAATGAGACAACTATCCACCTGAGTCCAAATAACTTGGACGTAAGCAACTATAGATCACCATACGGTCTTCAACAATGATCAAATCCCTTACCGTACAATCGGTTATAAAACTCAGACATGACAAAATGTAAAACGATTCAAACCAACTCCCTGATTTATAACAGCAATAAACGAAAAACAACCAATTATGTTTATTTAGAAGCATATAGATTTATCGTCTGATTTTTTTTAAGTTTCTTATTTCTTTCGACTTGTATTTGATAAATTTATTATATGCATAAGTTCCGGGTGTATTTGATACGGTATAAGTTTCGGATGATATACAAGCCAGCAAGCCACAGTGAAAAGTTATAACAAGGCATGTTATCTATCTAATTCGTTATAATGCAATGCTCATGTATCCGTAGTACGGAAGCCTGTTTAGGGCCTCCAAAAATATAATTTGAATTCGAGATCACACATTTTAAAAACCGTTATCATGGAATAAATTTGTGATTACGAATTACAAAACTCTGTAATAAATTATTCCACAAATAATTTACTACGAATTATATCCGTGATAACGATTTATATAGTTCGTTATAACAATTTTATTTCGTGATCACGTATTTTTTATTCGTGATTTCGATTTAAATTTCTGTTTTTTTTTGTTTTTTTTGGCTTGCTTTAATATTCTTTCATTTTTTTTTTTTTACTCATTTTAATAATTGTTCATTTATATATATACACATATATGAACAAAAGGAAATTAGGGATCTACGTACATGAGACACCAATACAAAGACAAAAATAACCATTCTTTTTTATATAAGACACAATGAAGTCGCGGCAAAATACAGTTTTCAACAATTATAGACCGGCTTCTTTACAATATGAAACAGGTATCACCGTTAATAGAGAAATTCAAGGCTGGAGCTTATAAAATAATATAATAATATATAATATATTTATGATTACTCGTAATTATATAAAAATGCATTTGACTCGGACTTCCTTTAAACTGGGTTTGACTGTGCGTATTGCTGTGTGTTCGTTTATTTCACATTGGCTAGATGTAAAGGGGTGAGAACTCACAAAACATGTTTAACCCCACCGCATTTTTGAGCCTGTCCCAAGTCAGGAACCTCTAGCCTTTTTTATTGTAGTGCGTTTTTTTTTTTTGAATTTTGGTTCTTTTATATAGAAATATGAATATGTGATATGAGTGCCAATGAGACAACTATCCATCCAAGTCACAATGTGTAAAAGTTAACAATTAAAGGTCAAATTACGCCCTTTAACACGGAGCCTTGGCTCAACCCGAACAGCAAGCTATAAAGGGCCCCAAAATTACTAGTGAAAAACAATTCAAACAGGAAAACCAACGATCTAATCTATATAAAAAACGAGAAACGAGAAACACATATGAACCACACAACAAACGACAACCACTGAACAACAGGTTCCTTTTGTATGTTTCGGAGTTATGTGTAGCGTCCAATTTGCTAGTTTACATTATTATTTAGGATCAAGCTGAAGCCCACCTCCGGTTGTGGGATTTTCTCGCTGCTTTGAAGACCCATTAGTGGCTTTGGGTTGCTTTCTACTCTTTGGTCGGGTTGGTGTCTAAGATAATAAATTTTAAACTTAATTATAATCTTTCAAAATGTTATACTGATGAAAAAATATTTTGAAAACTTATTTCATGATATCTAAATATTTAAGATTAACATGATTAATGCAGAGAAAATCAAGAGCGGTGTTGGAAATACAAGGATCGGGCTAAAATTCATGGGAGGTGTTCTAAACTGTCCCGCGTCTATATTATGAAGCTGTGAACAAAACAGAAACAAATATAGAATTGCTATCAACAACCCATTCTCCAAATGAAAAAAAATATATATTTAGAGATACCTATTCAAGGCGTATTATACAATTATGGTCTTCATCAAAATTTAATTTATAAAATAAATAAATTGAAAGCTGTTAAAGTTTATTGTCGGTAGAAATTAACTAATCATCTTGCATTCACGTCATTGTTAGGGTAATAAAAAAATAATTCATAGGGGGGAAACTGCTCTTAATCTTAAAAAGAAAATGTAACTTCAACCAAAAAGTCGATCATTTTAAAAGCATAGTTAAAATGGTCGAACGCCTAAATTGTGATTTTTAACATGTGTTGCACGACAAGAATATTGATGGTTTTAGTCTGGTAGTTTTAGTATTTCACACCAGAATTGACTAGTCCCTTACGTTATCTCAGAAGTAGTGACAGTTCAAGGAGTTAAGATCTAAGAAGTTCGCTTTAAATCGGGAAAAAGTTGTTTTAGTACAGCTATTTCTATTCATAACTAGTTGCCGTGTCAACAAAGCTGTCTTAGGACTAGGACGTGTATTATGATGGTCTTAGGACACGTCTTAGTCCTGAGTCAGGTTAACGAAAGTCTCATACGATAAGATATGTCCTAAATGTGGTCCTAAAGTTATGATATATACATATAGGTATGTTAGGATAGTCCTAAAAGTTACTATGTCCTACGTCGAGATAAAAACAACAAAACTGGCCTTCAGTCTGTGTGTAGATACTATTCCATGTCTTCTGCTTAATATTATTCGTTGTCACATTTAATAGCTTGCTGAATAACATTCCCTTATGCTTATTTTCTTCGACAAGCAGAATTTGATAATAATAATAATTTCCTTTATTTCAACAGGATAACATATTTAGTCCAAAGTCTAGTTTACAATAAGGTCCTGAATTATATACATATATTACAACATAAAGTATAAAATTCAATAATAAAAATACTAGTACAAGTAAATTATTTAACTATTATACTGTTATTAGAAATATACAAAACATTCTTCAATATATGTTTTTCAAAAGATTCAATTGTGTTACATTGTTTTAAATTTGTAGACAAATTGTTCAATAAAATACTTCAAGATATCAACAAGGAGCGTTTATAGTATTCAATTTTAATTTTGAAACAAAAAGCATATTTTAAGTTCTTTGTGTGCTTGTTCTAGAACTAACCTGATGCACATATCAAAAAAAAAAAGGCGAGTCATTTGGTGAAGTACTTTCAAAATTAAAATTGCTTTTCTATAGACAAAATAATCTGAAATGAGTATCCATCGCAGCTCTCCAAAAAGTATATTTGACGATGTCATATTATTACGCTTATTTAAAATAATTCGTGCTGCCCTTTTTTGAAGCATAAAAGTTCTATCAATATTAGCAACAGTGTTTGCACCTGACTCAATTGTACAACAGTAATTGAAACGTGGAAAACATTTGAATTTCGGTTTCAAAACAATTTTGACTTCTGTTATTACTGATGCTGATTCAATATATGTAATAAAATCGAAAGGACTTAAGGACAAAACTAGTGTAGTTACATATAGCATAACTAGAAATTTGTTTATCATTTTTAATAGTTTATTATAATGTATCTATTAGTATAACGTTTTTATAAACTTTATTTAGCGGTAATTTTTTTTTTCGTCATAAAAAATGCAACCTCCCGTCATTTACATATATACTGACAAACATTAACATATATTTCATTTAATTCTCTACATATTTTATTAATTGAATAAATGTGTTAGGATGGTCCTTTAGATATAAGAAGATGTGGTATGAGTGCCAATGAGACAACTCTCCATCCAAGTCACAATTTTTAAAAGTAAACCATTATAGGTCAAAGTACGGCCTTCAACACGGAGCCTTGGCTCACACTGCACAGCAAGCTATAAAGGGCCCCAAAAATGACTAGTGTAAAACCATTCAAACAGGAGAACCAACGGTCTAATCTATATATAAAAAAAGAAACGAGAAACACGCCAATCATAGTCAGGACTGTTCTGAGAAAGCTTTGTTTTACATCCTAAATCATGTCTCAGACACGTCCTAAGACTTTCCTAAATAATGTCCTAAGACTTATCGTAGGATATATCCTAGGATACTTTTATTGACATTGCCCTGGGGTCTGTTTATTGAAGCTGTCCTAGGATCTGTCCTAAGATCTATCTTAGGAATAAATAAGGATAATGTTAGGACCTACTTCCGACATGTCTGATCATGCACATCGAAACTATCTTAGGACTTTCTTAGCTAGGATGTCCTAACTGCTGTCCTAAGTGTTAGAGTAACGAAACATAGGATTTTAAAAATTCAAAATATTTAAGAATGCATCGAATTTCACCAGTAGTAAATAGTTATAACATTAAAAATTAGAAATATTTTATTATTAGTATTATTATAAAGATAATGAGTATATTTATCTTATAATTGTACATTCAAACTTTATGAAAAAAAACCAAAAAAAATGTTACAACGTATTATATCATAAGTGAACAGATTGTTTGTAAATAGTGAAAACTAATAAAAGATAATAGGTAACAATCATTATATATTTTTGAGTGAGTTTAATTCGAAGTGTCGCGGTTTTATACTCTACAGAGTTCAAAGGCAAATCTCGTGAATCTTTCATATAAATACGGAGTACATACAATATTTCATTACGGACCGCAGGCGCTTTGGAAATGAACCCCCCTTTTCTTTTTTTGTGATTTAACTTGTTTCCAAAGTAAACATTCTTTGATAATTTAACCTATGTTCATTTATTTAATGTGATGTATTTATATATGGTGCCCCTCTATTCTTATTTTCCACGTGGAAAATATGAATAGAGGGCATCATATATATACTACTGTTTTTTGTAATATCTTTTGAATAAGAGCAAGAACATAAATAATAATGAAAATAGGTTAAAATATTAAAGAATATTTTCTAAGTAAAAATTAGAATAAACAAAACAAAAATATTAAGAAAAAAGGAAATCTATTCCCTAAACGCCTGTGTTAATCTGTACTTGCGTATAATATCAATGTCATTCAAATATTTCCGTTGATTATTATAGTCCATAAGCGGTCTATTGCTAAACAATTATTAATACTACAGCCTAAATAAATATATATAGGTGGCGGTCTTATTTGTTTACAAATGAACCATCATAAAATATATCCTAAAGTTAGGACCATATCCTAAGACCATCTTAGGAATAGGTGTCCTAAAGCTATGACGATTCCTATGCCTTTTCCTAATTTGCGACATGTTTGATAACCGACTTAGGACTAAAATAGGCCTAAGATGATCTTAGGACATGTCCTAGTCCTATAAGCGATTCGATAAACAGGCCTCTGGTCTTTAAAATAGAAAAAGATATTTAGCTTTAATCGATCACAACTTGCAATAGATGTCTTCCTAATAATCACTGACCCCTTACTGTGGTATATTAAACTTATGTTTTATCGAAAAATTAATCATTTAATTTGTAACTACCTGCTTAAATCCTAAATTTAAGGGCGGCGGAATCATAATGCCACCTTTTTGGTCCCATGGATTTGGGAGTCATAAATTATTATAAATCTATCGAATTACATCTTCCATATGTCCAAAAGACATTAGTCTGTCAGGATCCAGTAATAATGTATTTGATGTATGTCATATATATTTGATTTAGGACTTTTCATTTTTGCATAGAGGGAAAAACAAGTTTTTTTTAATAGCCGCATTTTCAATTCTTTCAATAAATATTTTGATATAAGGAACAGCCTTACCCCAAAAAGATCTTTGCCACTAAATATCACTTGCAAAGATATTTATGGTAGTCTAACATATATATTTTGTAAAGCTGTTGTTCATATCAAATTTTACCAAACCTTTATGCATGAGTACATGATGATTTTGGGGCCAATTATGGCATGTTCATAGATCATTCTGAAATAAATTCATTTCAGGTTTATTTTCTGTATTATATTGACCAACATGTATCAATAAAATTAACACAGATAACGGGAGATTTTTTTTTTTTTGTTTTTTTTTTTTTGTGTTTTGTAGTTTCATTAGTTAAATGCTGACTCTTATCATACCTTCAAAGTTTACCTTATATAAACAGCATTGTCAAGCTAGCGATAACAATTCCAACCACTAAAGTAAGTTGAAATTCTAAAAAAATGATTTAGCTTTTTCGAATTTCATAACATATTTCAAGGTAATGATACAGCAAAAAGTAACTGAACATTGGCAGATAATTAAGACAATATCACTTCTTATTTGTTTAAATATTCAAAAGTATCTTAACATTTATTAAAACTTTATTCCAGTTTGAAAGAAAAAAACAGCATTTGACGGGCCATCAGTATATATGTGAAGCAAGTGTGGTCTTTCAAAAGTAAAATCAATGTATTTTGCGATATCAAATTTATTGTTTATTTCATTTTATTTCGTTTACTTTAAATTTGTTATAATTCTATTTCATTTTTAATTTTGCATCATTTTAATTTCATTTTTAAATTTAATTTATTCAGTTATTGTTTATACCTTTTTGTAAATTTTTTCGGGACTATGTTTTCACAAATTAGTTGGCATCAAATACACAACAACGAAAAAGGGAAAAAATGGAGACAAAGGAAAAAAAACAGACAAAAGACGGATATATGAAGATTTAAAAAAAGATTTACGAAATGACGATTAAAATTCGAATCATTCCATTTTCAAATACAAGTATTGAAGACATTGTTTTAATTGGAGAACCACTGGTGAGTCTTATGTAAAAAAAACTCGCAACTGATGTACTAATTAATAATCCTGCGACTTCTTTCAACCAAAAATCGTACAATTACAAGTGGTCGTAAGTTATACTGAAATATTCATCACTTGTGTATATTTTACTCTGTATTCTGAAGTAATGGCGTTGAAAACAATTATAAAGATTAATAGAAACAGTTTTTGATTTGAAATATGTTGAGAAATTTGAGAAATTGAATGTAGTATTTCATAAAATAAACGAGAAAATTGCATGTGAAAAAAAGAGATGCATGAAGATAAAAAAATGATATACCATGACCTGTAATCGGAGATATTGATACATTTCAGATTCAATGTAAAGAAAACTAGGAGAAAAAGATGCCAAGTAGAAAAATAATACGGATTTAAAATCAGGGGTTGACATTGTGAAAACTTACAAAAGTTCAGATAGCACTAAACTGGATAAAAGAAATTTGTTTTATAAACAGAGATACCGCGGCTCGTCTATTGTGTTGTGGCAGAAATCAGGAAGAGAATGACAAGGAGAAAATTCGTCTCATTGGTTGTGGCAGGAAATAGGAACAGAATGGCAAGGAGAAAATTCATCTGATGGATTGTGGCAGAAATCAGAGCAGAATGATAAGGAGAATATGCATCTAACGGGATTGACAAGGAGAATATTCATTTAATGAGTTGTTGCAGAAAATTGGAACATAATGGCAAAGAGAAAAATTATCTAATGGTTTGCAGCAGAAAATCAGAACAGAATAGCAAGGAGAAAAATCATCAAATGGATTGTGGCAGAAATCGAACAGAATGGCAAGGAGGACATTTGAGCAAATTGTCAGGTTATTTTAGTGGGAAAATCGGACGTTTTAGCGAAAAGTGGAATAATCAATGTCCATTTTACCGACAAACTAAAGTCCATATTTTCCTTTTTTTAATATGAAATAGTAAAATGAATTTTTTTTAATATCAAGTCAGCATACGTCGTATTCATGAAAAAGCAGTACTGAAAGTATAAATACTAACCTGGAAGAAAAGACAACAGTACTATGGAAGCGTATCTTAAATTATTCACTTCTAATTTGCATTAATGAAAGTTTTTGATTCATATAAATATTTATAAATGAAAAGAGATATGGTGTGTGTGTCAACGAGAGAGTACCAAATAACACAAACACAAACAACACTGAAGACATCTAAAAATCAACATACGGTGTTCAAAGATATACTTGTGTCTAAATCAAGCTCGTAATAGATAGTTTGTATTAATCGACAGTCACGGGAATGTCAAATAACAGGACCTCGAATGACAATTAAAATTTCAATTTGGTTTTTATTTCGTCGTTATATCTTTTATTTATCCAAAAACAAAGATTGCGTTAGCCAGATTATGCACATTCATTTGGAATATTTTGCTGTCAATGCAACTTCGTTATTGATAGAACCTTCTATGTAACTATTTTGTTTCGAGCGCATCTAATGAGTCCTATGGAGACGGAACGCGCGTGTCTAGCGTTCTCGTTTATAATCCTGTAAATACTTTTAACAAAATATCAAAAAATTAAGAAACAATAAGTTTTAGGAAATATTCATGACTCAAGTCTATTTTTTCTCTTTAGATTTTTTTAAACGAGCATCAGGTATATTTGACGTGTTTTTCCCATAATACAGAAAATGTGTTGATATACAAACATTGTTATCAGGTAGCGAACTCCTCAGTGATGAGGAAAACGAAAATATTTTTAAGTTGTACAAAATTTTATTTTGGAAACAGGGAGATTTGGTTTATAAATCTTGTGATTTTTGTGTCGATTTATATTATTGAACTATATCTTGTGAAACATATATATGTCATAGTCACAGCTAAGACCACAATTAGAAATGAGTTGATCACATCTTTCGATCAAACTGACAAACCACATAAAGCATGTAATGTAAATTGCAAATTATATTATAGCGTGTTTCTTTACACTATGTTCCCAATGTTGTCATTTTGTTTAGGGAGACGGATTTATATAAGTTCTTCTTATTTCCGAATCTCCATATTTTTACTGTATAATTGTAATTTGTGAACTTTGGAAAAATAAAATATTGTTTAAACTTATACAGAAAATAAGTGGAACACTAACTTGCATTAGCAGGAATTTTTTAAGTTAAAACTAGAATAGTCATCGCAACTATTTTTAATAACATAATTCCTTTCAAACAGTCAAAGCACTACGAATTTCAAACAGGGCTCCATGTTGAGAAGAAAAATGGTTCAGTCATTTCACTTGGACGAATTCTTTCTTTTAGAGATGCCAACAAAATGAACTAACTTTTTAACGTATAGATTCATACATGCAATAGTAATTCAAATATCAGGTTTGTCCCACCACTATACAGATCTTACAGATATTACTTTCAGTAGTAGAGTTCAGAAGTCTTGACTTACTGGTCACTTATTTAACTTAAATAACTTCATTTGCACTATTTATAATGAAAATAATATACGAGGTATCGTCATTACAAAACTATTATGTGTGTGTGTGTAAGTTTTAATCATTGACATTAAAAATCTTGAATTTTGAACTAAAAAGATTAATAATCTATTGTATACATTTAACGCAAGATTCTAAGACAGTTGCAATTGGTTATAGCAGAGGCATATTATACATGTAGTGTATGTCTATGGTTAAAAAAGAATAAACTTCCGAAATAGAGAAAACGCAGATACCAAAAATGCACAGGCGGGACACTTTTATCTGTGCAACGGTTTCCAAAAAGAAAAACCAAATTTTTTCTACAAAAAGCATTGAGGAGAAAATCTAAAATTTTCCTTTTTCTTTTCGTCAATTTCTTGAAAGAATACTATTCAGTCAAATATTTAGCCCTGTAAAAATTATTCTGACTTTTTATTGCTTTCTCAAAAGATAGGTAAACAGATTTTCTCTCCAAATTTTTAAATGGGAATCATCAGAAAAGTAAATATTCAATACCAATTTCGATGTAGACGAACGTGCTGTGCCCCATGTACGCCCAAGATGGAAAACAGTGTAAGAAATCACAATTTTAATAATGATATTCATTAAATAGCTTTTGGTGTGTATAAGAATACAAAGTGGTTATGTGATCGTCTACGATGACTTCAAGAATTTTTTTCACTGAATGATTTCTGTCGTTTTGTAGACATATCCTTCGTAATTTGTTGTTTGGCTTTCTGACAGGAAAACAAAAACACTCATTAACTTCGATAACAGCATTACGTTTTATTAGGGAAACTAGTGTATCTTTTATGGTAGTTTCTCGAGACTGTTTTGGATATGTCATGAAGGAATGATCCCTTTTCTTGCGCAAGACAAGTTCAATTGGTTTAGTTTCACTATTTGAATTAGTACATATTTTTATTTTATCAACAAAGATTTTTTAAGCGCATATACTTTAATTTATGAACACTATTTTTTGAATCCACGTATTTTATCATCCCTTGTTGGTGTCCTATAAACATATGTTTGATTTTCGTCATTAAAAATTTCTTTGTCGTACAAGTATGCTTTAAATAATGAATATATATTTCGCTTTAGGACGTCATATTTATTTTTCCTAATAAATATTAATTTTTTATAAACATATATTTTATCATATGAGCAATATATTAGTTTTACTGACATATAATTATCTTTTATAAATTTCATTTGATGAAAACTGTACCAATTGACACAAAAATAGACTATTTTCAATGTGGAGTAACCGAGCAAAACTATAAAATCTTAAAGGTTTAGATATTTTGATTTCTGTAATTTTATGTCCTATTCTCAAAACAGTCGAATAGATTATAAATTTATACTTTGTGATGTAATTAAAACTTAATACAAATATTCTCTACTTGAAGAACTATTCTGTACATAAAAAATATTGAATTAAATTGAAAAAAAAATTGACACATGTCGCACTATCAAACTTCAGTAATATTATATCAATATGATATGCCATATGCATTTTACGATTTAATTATCATTTCTTATCATTTCAAAAGAATTATTAGATGATAAAATTTAACAGTGCAATTCATATGTTGAGTTTTTTTGTCACATATATAAGTATATATAAGTATTATGATAAGATACTTACATGAATATTTACATATTGTTACATATACCCACGAAGGTCACTTGCAATCTTCTGTCTGTCTCACTGCATCAAGAACCCCCTATTACATAACAAGCCAGTGGCAGACACTCATTAATAATCAGACAGACACAAAGGGACACAAATGTCGGGTTTTAACATAAACTTAAAATTGCACATTTTCAAAATCATTATCAATTTTATGTCGTGATCATATAAACTTCCAGCAATGATTATTTTTGCCTTGTCATGAGAACATCCCGTTCACATTTTACTTGGATGAAAAGTTATTTGCACGTTACACATTTTCGGGTTTGGGTTTAACGTTACCATGAACTCCCAAGGGACTTTTTAATGTTCCTCGAATGGGTGGTTCAGGCTTATCCTAAACAAATATGCTTTTTAACTGAAGGAAGATACGTAGTCAGTAAGGTAACAATATAATTCAAAATCAAAAGACTTTATGTTTGGTTTTATCAATCTTTTTTTTTGTAGAACACGCATTTGTAATTTCTTTAATGAAGCATCATTTGTAATTAACAATACAAAATCACATAATTCCATAAATACGTGTAAAATAAACATCGGTTTAAGGAAATAACATGGTTTTATAAAGTATATATATCAAGTCTAAAATATGCCTCTTTATAAATCATATTGGTGTAAAACACTTTTTCTACAAACCTAAACCTATGTGGTTTTTATTTTGCGTGATAGTTATACATAATATATATATATAATTATATATACAAGTCTAAATTGAAAACAACGTTCAAACCTTTGATTGCGTTGGATAAAAACCGCAATTTTTATACTTGTGCATGCAAAACAAATTTCTTGGTAGAGGGGTCTAAATACAGCACAAACAACATTTTCCAAAAGACCAAAAAAGTGAAAAAGTATATTTTAACAAAACGCATTTGACTAGCAGGTCGAACAACTGATGTTCTTAAACCCTGCTGACTGCCATTGGCGATTGCCAAATAAACGGATCACCAGATGTAACAAAATGGATCTTATAATAATTTATTACCAAACAGAAAACAATAAACTTGCAGAAAAGATGGTATACCGCAAACATGAGGTGCAAAAATTTGTACACCATATCCGGATTTCGACAATTAATGTCTCTTCAGTGATGTTAGGAATCGAAACGGTATTTGGAAGGCCATATAATTTACCTAAATTTAGGATAGACTCTTGAATTTTGAAAGAGTCGAAATAGGATGAACGGATCATATAAACCCGAAGGCAAATATAATACAAGCCCAAACGAAAAAATATAAACAAGTCTAAATTGAAAACAACGTTCAAACCTATGATTGCGTTGGATAAAAACCGCAATTTTTATACGTGTGCATGCAAAACAAATTTCTTGGTAGAGGGGTCTAAATACAGCACAAACAACATTTTCCAAAAGACCAAAAAAGTGAAAAAGTATATTTTAACAAAACGCATTTGACTAGCAGGTCGAACAACTGATGTTCTTAAACCCTGCTGACTGCCATTGGCGATTGCCAAATAAACGGATCACCAGATTAACAAAATGGATCTTATAATAATTTATTACCAAACAGAAAACAATAAACTTGCGGAAAAGATGGTATACCGCAAACATGAGGTGCAAAAATTTGTACATCATATCCGGTCTTCGACAATTAATGTCTCTTCAGTGATGTTAGGAATCGAAACGGTATTTGGAAGGCCATATAATTTACTAAATTTAGGATAGACTCTTGAATTTTGAAAGAGTCGAAATAGGATGAACGGATCATATAAACCCGAAGGCAAATATAATACAAGCCCAAACGAAAAAATATAAACAAGTCTAAATTGAAAACAACGTTCAAACCTATGATTGCGTTGGATAAAAACCGCAATTTTTCTACGTGTGCATGCAAAACAAATTTCTTGGTAGAGGGGTCTAAATACAGCACAAACAACATTTTCCAAAAGACCAAAAAAGTGAAAAAGTATATTTTAACAAAACGCATTTGACTAGCAGGTCGAACAACTGATGTTCTTAAACCCTGCTGACTGCCATTGGCGATTGCCTAATAAACGGATCACCAGATGTAACAAAATGGATCTTATAATAATTTATTACCAAACAGAAAACAATAAACTTGCGGAAAAGATGGTATACCGCAATCATGAGGTGCAAAAATTTGTACACCATAACAAACAACATTTTCCAAAAGACCAATATATATATATTACTAGCTTGGG